TATTCTGACAATACTTTTATTTTATTCAATAAAATGTTTTTATTTCTACAAATTACTACATATAATCAGAGCACATTGAAAAGCATACTTGGAATGCAAAAACTAAAATATTTTTATATAAATTATGGAAAGACAGATACAAAATTTGGCATCTATTTCGAATGGTTTACTTTCAAATAATTAAAAATTAGTTAAACGATTTAGATTATTTACAAGAACCTTATAACAAATAAATTTATTTATTATTATTCCTTTTAATTTTCAGATTTCAAAATTTTTTCCCACTCACCAAACTGAAATTTACATAAAAATATACTTTATAGATAAATGATTTATTTGAAGAAAAAATTGTACTTCGTGATTTTTTAAAATTTATATAGAAATATTGTACTTAAAATACTATTGTTAAAATAGTTCTTCAGCATTTTTTAAAATTTTTTGTACAAGTTTGCAAAATCTTTTATGGTGCAGCGCTAGAAGGAATATTATTTACAAATGAAAATTTCACTGAAATGAATTTAGTGTAGGTTGAAGTGAAAAATATTTTTTTATACCTTGGGGTGAAATAAATAGTTTCTGGAGATAAAATTTTTAATATTTTCAGAGCTTTATTAAATAAAAAGAAAAGTTTATGGTCTTTCAAATTGTAAAATGAGACGCACATTTAGATTGAATGAATATTTTTAATACTATCACCAAATTAATTTCTCCTTAATGACTGATGTTAATTTTAAATGTTGGTTTCTAAGAAATTAAAAGTTTATTTTTCAATCATTTAAGTCATTGAATTATATTAGTTTTTACTTTACAACGAAAAAAGGATTTTATTTGTGCGAGAATATCATTTTCAATTTAAATGCTTCATTTAGAAATTTTATTACTTGATTGCATGGAATTACACACTTAATTTTCAATATAAGTAATGAAATTTTAAAAAAAATGAAGGCATTTATTAAAATTTTATAAATCTTGCTACGTTAGCGATATTCTTGCTTCAAATAATGTCTTTCTTCCCTTTGAAAACCTATTTTGGGGATATTTCCGCAGGTGAATAAGAAGAAGATCAGTCATTCCAGAGTAAAGCTGGGGATAGGAACTTTTTGCTACCTGTTTTCCAACTTCGGGCGTTTGCGGTATTCTGGGCATGTTGAGGTTTAGGTCGCTCGGTATTCAAAGAGTTAAATAAATAATTACCAATTAAACATTTATGGTACAACCAAGCAAAACGTTAACACTTTTCTAACCACAGATAAGACTTTGCCACACCTAAAATATATTATTAAGAATGTTAATAATTAATTCTATTTATATCTGAGGTGGGCATACTAAGCCACATTAACGGAAATTTTCTAATCTATGTAAAAGGAAGTCATTACATCAAACATTATTTGAAGAAAAAAAACTATTTTAATTAATATATACTAAGGTAATAATGCCCTTCTGTTAATAATAACTAAATTTATTTTTCATAGGCCAAGATATTGTTACCTTTTTTTACAGAAAATTAAACTTATATTTGGGCTATAAGTTCACACTTTTTATCTTTTAGTTACTTGCATAACTTAGTGAATGCATATTTTGAGTGTATTTTTTGTCCGCGAGTGTATTTTTAAAAGTTTCAATATAAAAATACATTTTATTTTTTTAATATGTTCCAAGTAATTATTATAATTATTGTTTATTTGTCATTTTTACTTATCATCGACTGCTGACAATATAACCAGTTGAGATTTAAAAATTGCTATTGGGCTTATAATATATGGTTTTGACTTGAACTACATATAATTTTGAAAAATTTCAGACACCATTAAATTAACACTAATCATGTAAATCCTCATGATTTTGAGTTGTGGTACTTTTGCCTTACTTATTATAAGTTTAAATATTATGTTTACAAGATTATTTATGTATTTTAACATGAAATTGGAATATGTATTTAAACACTTTGTAAACCAAAGTTTTACTTAAGGTTGTCAATACGGGTGATCCCAAACCTGCTAAGTATCCAGTTCTAGTAAAATTGTTTAATTTATTATTACCAAAAAATCAAATCACATATTTTGTTTAATTCTACAGTCCACAGATGGCGCTTTGCGCATCCGAATTAATTATTCATTGAACTTGAAAAAATAAATAGTGTATGTGTATCGATTCCTGTGTGTGGAGTGTTTCAATGTTTTCGATGTATAATTCAATATTCTAAGTTCATCTCCGATTCCAGTAAATTGTGGCAAATTCTAACTGAATTGTGAGATATCTAAACGTTCCACCTTTAATTTTATAGTTCCAAGTCCATACAACAACCGAGTCAGGTAAAAATTTATGAAACATTCTTTTTCCCGCTAATTGCTAAATCATTTGGTCAAGTCTCGCCGGAACCCAGCTGAAATATTCTAATTCAAAATTCCTGGCTTGTTGTTGTTTCGGCAAATATTTTTTCTAAAATATATTGTCATAATTCAATAAAAAAGTAAAATTCGAATTTTATTCATATATGCTAAGCATTAAAACGAAAGAAATGTTCGTAGTGTAACATTTCAAATTCCAGTGTATTCAAAAGGGTTTAATTTGCTTAAATGTGCTTATTAACTTATTGATTAATTACTTATGTGCTAAATTACCGATGTATTCTGCCATTGTCATTTCTGTAATATAATTTACAAAAAACTGTTTCGTTTTACCCTTCCCTTTATTATTGTTCTCTTTTCGTTTTAAACCGCTGTAATTCTTTTTGCA